TTGTGATGGAAAACCTGCTGCTAGATCTAGTTCTAGTGTTAGTGGAAAAGTTGGTTCTTCAACTATTAGTACTGGAGCTGCTTCGGAGGTTGCACTAGATCTTGAGCCCCTTTTAGACCTGCCACTGGCCCTGGCCCTGGCCCTGGCCCTGAAGCTGCAAGAGGAGAATGGTGCACCAACACGACTGCATTTCCTTGTGCCTTTCCAGTGATAGAAAACATCCCACTGCTGATAAAAGAAACTCAAGCTCAAGAATCCACCCCAGGAAGTCTACCCAGACTGCAGTCCACCAGAGAATGGGTCTGAGGTTACTCTGAGTTCTGGTCCAACCCCAACCAATGGAAGCTCCTCCCTGTGTGGCCCAGCCTCTCTCTATCCACAAAGGCTCACTTGCATACATGCTCAGTCCTCCTCACCCTCGAATTCTACTTCACTGGACTCCAGATTCCCCAGCTTTGCAAGGAGCAGGTGGGCACAGTGCTCCAGGTCCAAGCCGGTCATGTTCACCTACACTTACTCCACCAGGAGCTTGAGGCAAGTGAAGTCCTGGGGCTTAAAGAAGTCCTCCGAGTATTCATCCAGACAGGTGCCCAGGATGAAGGAAATGGCACTGGGAGTAGGTGGTGAAGAGTAGGGTAAAGGGCCTGGCCTTTCCTGTCCTGCCACCCTCCTAAAGCACCTCTGCAAGGGGCTAGGTCACTCTGCCTGCCCCTGCCCTTCTGGAGGCCAACCACACCCTGCCCCACCTCACTTGGCTGTCCTGGCAATGACAGTCTGGTCACCGAGCAGGGGAATAGCACAGAGCCTCAGTTCCATGGACCTCTGGATCAGTGGTCTGACCGACTCCCCTTCCTCAGGAAGCCTGACATACTTCCCTGTCTATCCCTTGACCCCCTTCCCACTGGAAAGTAAGCCCTATCACAGCAGGAAGGTGCGTGTCTTCGTGTTCGCTACATGGCATGGGCACACAGTACCTGACAGATGAGCACCTGATGGATGAGGGACAAAGGGAGTCAGTCCTCCTGCCCCAGCCTGCCCAGGCCCTCAGGGCCCCTCAACCTAAAGCTAGTGTACCAGCATGCTGTCTGATTCTCTGCATGTATGAGAGGGTCCATTCTCCCACTAACACTGTTCTCTGAAAGAGCAGGGACCCCACATGCTACTGAGGCCCCACAATTGGCGTTTGGCAGATTTAGGAGCAGGTTTCTTACCACACTTCCATTCTGGGCCCTGTCAAGGAGGGGAGAAGCAGAGCTATGAGGAGACTGTGAGGGAATGAATTCTCTCAGAGGCTACTCTGAGCCCCCAGCATCCTCTCCACTCCAAGACACCCAACCTCCGCCCCCACCTCTCTGTGATGGCTTTCTTCCTGTAGGGGTAGCCCCTGACTCATTCCTTCAGGGGAAATCTAGGTGTGTGGGACCTAGGGTCCGCCCTGCCCCAACCCAGGCATAGAACCCCCACAACCACGACTCATCTGTGGGGATAGGAGCCCCTCCTTTGTGACCCAAAGTCCACTCACTCATTCAGCTGTCCTGGGGTCTGCAGTCCCCATCAGAATGTGGGCAGTTGCATCCATATCTTGAGGAAGCATGAAGGAGTCACATCTAATACACTGTGGACACTACCTGTCTAATGTCTAATGTTGTTGTCTGATGCCCACTAAAATGGAAGCCAAGGAGGGCAGTGGTTCTGGTCTGTTTTCTTCATTTAATTATGCTAAGTACCTGGAACAGTCCTTACAACACTAGGGGCTGCACACATATGTGTTGAATGAATGAATACAACCAGCACCTTCCGCAATATCTGAATGGGCTTGGGGCCCCTCTGCCAGCTCCCAGGGATCCCTGTTCTGGCTACAACAAGGAGAAGGACCAGTAGATGGAATCTCAACTCCCCTTTACAAATGGGAAATAAGTTTCCTTGAGGACATGCAGTCAGTGAGGGGTGAGGCATAGAGCTTCTTCATGGGAAAGAGTTAAATAATAAGTGTGAACATCCTCAGCCCCTCTAGCAGCCTTTTCCACAGAGCCAGACTTCAGGTAAACAGTTTCCATGGCTCATCCCATGTGGTCCTGATAAGAACCCTAACAGGTTGATCCTCTTGCCACACCACTTCTCCAAGCGGCAAACTGAACCTCAAAGAAGTGAAGTGACATTCACAAGATTCACAGCTGGTAGGTGGCAGTGTCCCCTCTGTGCTGTGGAGGGCAGGGTGCTAATCTTTGAAAAAGTAGGTCCAAGACCTGCTGGGTGGTTGTGAAGGTTCCACATGTATACAGGAAGATACCAGTGTAGGAGAGGTCACCCTCCAGGAAGGCAGGCACCAGGTGCTCCACCAGCTTCTCCAGTGAGCCTGCCTTGATGGTCCACACCATGTAGGTCTCATCCAGGTCTAGGGCTGACCAATGCACACACTGGGGTGGGACAGAGAAGAGATAGAGTCAGAGGCAGCACCCTGAACCACCACGTGGGTTGAGGGAGGGAGCTCAGACCTGGAATCCCAGGTGCTCAGGGACTTGGGGCAGGAGGTGGAACATGAGCGTTTCCAGCAGAAAATGGATCTCAGCTTTCAAAGTAGAATTTGAGGTGGAGGATAATTAAAAGTATTAGGAACCTCAAGTCATTTTAGTATCTCCCTGTACTAAGAACTTTATCCCAGTGAGCCCTCACAAAACATACCTATTCTAGAAACGAGAAAACAGAGGCTTAGCAATGTCAAGTGCTACTCAGAGTCATGCAGTCAGAGCCCAGACCGTCTGATGCTATGGCTGTGTGATGTTCCCTCTGAGCTACATGAGGGTTGACTTGAGAATTGTCTGGTGCCAGCTCATTCCCTCCCCAGCTGGAGACAGTGCACAGAGCAAAAAAGCCCCATGCAATACCCTTTGATTGCAAGTAAGATGCTTTTTTTTTTTTTTCTTTACATTAAATACACTTTTGAGAACCTGAAGCTATCTATACTGGCCCCAGATCCAGCCAAGGGTAAAGGCCTAGAGATCCCAGAGTGGGAGAAAGAACCTCACAGGAACAAGGATCTGTACAGAGTAGGGAGGGCAAATCCAAATAGCCAGTAAACAACTGAGAGGTAGCTCAGCTTCTCAGGGGCAACTGCACATCAAAGCCAACCTGCAGTTTCACCGACCACCTTGACACCAGTTTGGCAAAAATTAAAAAGAACGAAAGCACCTCGGCCTGACATGTTGCAGGGACGCAGCCCCTTTCACAGACTGCTGGTAGCCACGTACCTGCTACAGCTGTTTTGGAAAGGAGTCTGGCTCTAGCAATCCTAACATTAAATGTGCAGCTCCTTCGACCCAACAATCCCACTCCTGGGAGTCTATCCTGGGTGGAGGTCAGTATATGAGGACACACGTGAGCGTTCACTGCAGCTCTGCTGAAAGGTAGCAGAAAGGAATCATGTCCAGGAACACCAGCAGTGAAAGTTTCAATCACTGTGATAACTGGCTTTGCTGGAACTTTCTGTAGCCGAGGCAGGACACAGCTCCAAGTGGCAGAAAAAGGTATATCATGGCATGAGCTCCACCATTTCTGGGTAAAAAGAAGCTTGCTAAGCGTGGAAATGTGTAAGGCTGGAAGAAGGTGTGGAAAGATAGTTCAACAAACTGCTGCCTGGGGTCCTAGGGTCAGGAGTTAAACCTCAAAACAGTTGTAAAATGCAAAAATACTCATTGGCTAGGGAGAACTGAAAACAGTATAAAAGATGAATCTGATATTGCTACAAATACGGGTAAATTAACTTCGCACCTGGCCAGGACAAGGAAGGGCAGTAGGGTGGTGGCCTGATTCCTTCGAGAGGGGAATAGGGGCCTGTCTTAGTCATCTAGTGCTGCTATAACAGAAATACCACAAGTGGATGGTTTTAATGAAGAGAAGTTTATTTCTTCACAGTCAAAGTAGGCTAAAAGTCCAAATTCAGGGCGTCAGCTCCAGGGGAAGGCTTTTTCTCTCTGTCGGCCTTCTTCTCTTCTGTGTTCCCCCGGACTAGGAGCTTGTCTGCACAGGGACCCTGGTCCAAAGGATGCACTCTGCTCCCGGCACTGCTTTCTTGATGGTATGAGGTCCCCAACTCTCTGCTTGCTTCCCTTTCCTTTTATCTCTTGAGAGATAAAAGGTGGTGCAGGCCACACACCAGGGAAACTCCCTTTACATTGGATCAGGGATGTGATCTGGGTAAAGGTGGTGGTACAAATCCCACCATAATCTTCTTTAACATAAAATTACAATCACAAAATGGAGGCCAACCACACGATTCTGGGAATCATGGCCCAACCAAATTGATATGCACATTTTTGGGGGGGGCATAATTCAAACCATGACAGGGCCATTCCAGAAGGAAAGCCCTGGGAGGGATATGGAGGTGGTCTCCAGGTCATGTCTGGTCCCCAGGGCCCTCTCTGTCCATCTCGGAGCCCTGGGTGGGGTTCCTGCCCCTCACTCACCCAGAGCCTGCACGGCCCTTCCTGACCCCTTTCTTGGGGTATCGTAGACTGAGTAGATGATGCCGTCCTCCTTCTCCTCTCTGATCTCCCGTATGGAGCTCTGCAGAGACAGCGCCCAGCAGTGGCCCAGGAGGCATCAAGGTCTCCCTCCAAGGCCTCCTTCCCTTTCTGCCCCTTAAGGCCCTTGTGCCAGCCTGAGTAGCAGAGGAGCTCATAGTTCCCCATCTGTCACCACGTGGTGGGGGCGGGTATGCAACCTGACAGTGCTGGGGTCCTGGCTGACAGCTGAGGGTCCACAGAAACCTCAAAGCAGAAGGCCTTGACTGGGAGAGGAACAGATGTTTCTCTTTCTGCCCCCCACAACTGCTGGCAAAAAGGAAAGGCCCTTGTTGAGCAGGCAATGATTCTTCCTGCTGGGTGGGCTAGCCTGCGGGCTGTACACCAAGCCCCAGCCAAGTTCACTGAGTCATAACAACCCCAGGCTCTACTGTCCTGGGAACAGGAGAGACTGCCACAAAGTAGAGAGGGCTCGGGGTACAGAGATGAAGATATCGACCCCTGAGAGCTGCAGCATGATCAGCACATGGTCATCACTGGCTCAATCAATGCCAGCAGCTAGGACTGCGGGGTGACTGCCACACACAGGACGAGCTGGAACTTAGAGAAGACCAGGTGTCATGGATTGAGTTGTGTCCCCCAAAAATGTCTGTCAACTTGGCTAGGTCATGATTCCCAGTACTGTATGCTT